ACTGGAAGCATTGGCTTAAATCCAATAAATATGTGATACATGATAATATTAATTGTTTTTGTTTTACGTCACTATAATAAAAAATAATTCGGAAAAAAAAATTTTTGCCGGTTGTTGTTGTTTGTTTTTAATTTATTTCATCGTATGATTTGTTTTAACAAAATGGCGGAAATGAAAACAAAAAAATTCGAGAGTAGTAATTATTAATTAATTTATCATATCGTCGTTTGTTTTTTTTTTAACAACAACAACTTCTCGACAAACAGGGTACAACCGACGATATTTCTCTCGTTATTTAATAAAAAAAATAATAATAATAATATTTATATATTATTATTATATTACATTTTTTTTTAAACTATAATTTTATATATTTCCGGTTTGCACGTGTGTGCGTACGCGTAAAAATAAAAGGTGTAATTTTACATAAATTTTTTTTTTTGCACGTTTGTAAGAGAAAACAAGTGTTTGTCTCGTTTGTTTGTCGGTTGTTTTGTTAACGCGTAAAAATGATAAATAAATCTATCTGTTAATTATTTAAAAATAATTTACAATTTTCCACAAATAAAAAATTATTCAGAGAGAAAAAAAAACAATCGTTCGTGACGACCTACGGCAAACAAAGTTTCCGGAAAAGGAAATATCACATTTTCGTGTTGTTTTATTATAAAAAAAAAAATTCTCATTTCCGATTGTTAATTTTTTCTCTCAAAAATTATTGTAATTTTGTGTTTGCGCTTTTACACCGAACGCAAAGTTTTTCTTTTTCCGTTTTTTTTTCCCAAATTAAATAATAATAATAATAATGTAATATATTTCGCCTCCAGCTAAAAATAAAAGGAGAAACAAGTTTATAAATTCTATTTTTTTTTTTACTTTTCCGTTTTTTAAAACTTACAACCTTGTTTTTGTTTTTGTTTTGCATACAAACACGTATTATGTGAGTTATGAGTTTTTTACCGTCTCTAAGATTTATTTATTTTGTATTGTTACAGGAGAAAAGCCGTACAAATGTCACTGGCCAGAATGCGAATGGAGATTTGCAAGAAGTGACGAATTGACACGTCACTACCGGAAACACACGGGAGCAAAACCGTTTAAATGTTTAGTTTGCGAAAGATCATTTGCAAGATCCGATCATTTAGCTTTACACATGAAAAGGCATCTTCCGAAAAATCCAAAATAATTCATATATGAACCTTTTTTTTGATTACGAAAAACCTTTATAGAAATAAATCAATTTTATTACATCACGGTAATATTATTATTATTATTATTATTATTATATACGTAAAAAGGTACAAGAGAAAAGAAAAAAGTGCCATTATACAAGATCTCGCATTTAAATATTGTGTCATATTTATTCGAGAAAAAAAAAAAACGAAACGGTTGTTAGGATTGAATTTAAAAAAAATAAATTTGATCCCAATCAATCAATCGATGGATCAATGATGAAAACAAACACAAACACAAACGCGTTTGTTTGTGTCGTTGATAATATTCGTGGATTTGTCCTTGAAAAAAAATCTATCAATTAAATATATATTATGTGATTGCATTTCATTATTGGAAAATTTTTTTTTTTTTTGGTAGTTGTTGTATTTAAAATTTTTTTTTTTGTTGTTGAAACAACCGGAAGGTGTGGTGTGGACACAATAAAAACAAGACTTAAAATGGTATATCCAATGGCAAACGTGTCAAAAAAAAAAAAAAAAATTTTGATAACAATAACAACCAAAAAAAAAAATGAAAACATTTGTTTTGTTGAAAACATTTAAATCAACGGTTGCCTTGTCATTAAGCCTTCACTTTTTTTTTCTACTTCAATTCAATTCAAATATGGCGGCATAAATGGATTTAATGTGCCCCCCAACAAAAAAAAGAAAAAAAAACTGGCAATAATGATAATAATAATAAATCAAATCGTGATCTAATTTTTTTTTCTAATTTTTTTTTTTTTTTTAATTCAAAAAGTTCGGATGAGTAATTTTTACCGTTTATTATCATTATCATTATCATTATTATTATTAAAAAGTATATTACGAGTAGTTTTAATTATTACTAACGAATTATTATTATTATTATTTTCTTTTTTTTAAATTAATTTTATACGATTTGTTTAAACAAAAAAAAATTTTAATTATTTTCATTATTATTATTGCTGCTATAATTTTTTTGTGGTTGTTGTTGTTTTAATATTAATAATAATGATTATTATTATTTATTGAAAATCGATCGATTCTCAATAAATCGATCGATAAATTTAATCGATTTTTTTTTTTTTAATTTTTTAAATATCACTTTTTTAAGTTCGAATGTTTTTTTTTATTATTATTATTAAATGCAAAAGGTTAAATTTAGTTAAACTAACTAAATGTCGTAACATTTTTTTTTTGTTTATATTGCAAGTAATTTACAAGGTAAAACTTAAAAATTATTACCGTAATAATAATAATAATAATAATCATGATAATAATAATAATAATTTACAATAAGGTATAACGTTAATTAACTTTTTTTTTTATGATTTTTCGGTTCCATATATATTAATATGAGGGAAAAATCCTTGTTTTATCATTTATTATTATTATTATTATTATTTAAATGAAAATCAGCTTACGTAATTGAATGTGTTGGCCATACTCGAGGAGAGGGAAGGGGGGAGGGGGTTAAAAAAATAAATAATTATTTAGTCGAAAGAATTTGAAAAATTGACTAAAAGTACCAAAAAAAAAAAAAAACTTTCAAGTGCCTGATATTAGTAAATCGTCAATGAAAAATCAATCAATCAATTAATCAATAAATTATATCGATTATTGATTATTATTATTTCTTTTTAAAGTGCCTGAATAATTTTATTTGTGCCATAAAAAAATTAAATTATTATTATTATTATTATTAAGTTCTCACACGAATGCCATATATTTAAGCGGGAAGTCATTTTTTTCCCCCCTTTTTCTTATCAATGATATGCAATTAATCCTCGTGAAAAAAAAAAAAAGTAATCAAGGACTTAAATACACAATGAAACGTAAATGATTAGGAATTACACGTGCACACGCACACGCACACACGCACACGAGAGAGAGAGAGAGAAAAAAAAAGGGGATATTTGTCAACCGTTAAAGTGCCATCAAAATAATATCATAAATGCCATATTTAACTTTTTTTTTTAAAAAATTTATTTTACGTAGGCAAATCTTATTATTATTATTATTATTATTATTATTATTATTATTATTATTATTATTATTATTATTATTTGTGAAAATAGGTATCATTACGTCATTTACATCTTTTTACGTAATGCGTGTCACGTGATTTTTTTATGTAAAAATAAAAAAAAAATGTTGTCACCAAAAATAAGAAAAAAGAATTAAGCAATAAAATATGCGATATTGATCAAAAAAAGAAAATAAAAAAAAGGTCGTCGATTAAAATTCATTTTATGTAAAAAAAAAAAAAAATGTGCGTGTTTGTTTGTTTGTTTGTTTGTTTGTTCGTTCGTTCGTTTGTCGAAATATTAAACAAACAAAACAAAACGAAAATTTTTGTCTCTAATGCACTTTTAAATAATTAAATAAGCTTTTTACTTTACACATATATATATAAATTAATTGTATAAAACTAAAATTTTGTATAAATGCGTCAATTATTAAAAAAAAAAAAAAAAACAATGCGTTATTATTATTATTATCATCATCGTTCAAAGGTTAACGAGAGGAATACGATTCGTGGCGTAATAAAATATTATTATTATTATTATTATTAATGTTTTAATATAAACTCGTGGATCTATTTGCGTCGTCTTTTTTATTTTTTATATTTTTTTATTTTTTAAATCATCACATTTAATTTGTATTTTTAACAAATTTATGTATAAATAATAATAAGGATGATGATGATGATGATGATGATGATAATAATAATTAAAAATGTATAAAAAAAAATTTTATGTATGATTTTCACAAGTTTTTTTTTTTTTATTAACGTGTATACATCGTGTAAAAGTATGAGAAAGGAAAAAAAACGTGAATGTGAGTGCCATTAAATTGCCATTTTTATTATTATTATTATTTTTTTTTATAATTATTATTATTATTATTATTATTATTACTTACACGGTATTTGCGAGATAAAAGAAAGGATAGAAAAAGTGGCAAATATTTAACAATAATTGTAATAAATTCGTGTCGATAGATAAAAAAAAAAATTGTTTACCAAATTTTATATATAACACAATTTAATTATAATTTTTTATGTATAAATTTTTTACGTAGGCGTAAATAAATAAATAAATAAATTTATGCCTTTTATATACATATATAAATGTAATAATCGAAAATGTTGTTAAAAATTATTAATTAGGGGCCATTCCTTCGTAAATAAATAAATAAAATATATATATTGTCTAGTCCGTAATCACTTGCCACATTCTCATTTTAATTAAATAATAATAATAATATCATTATTAATTTTCTATACGTCATTTATATATATATATAGTTATGCAAATGTTGCATGATATTTACACCCGTGAAAAAACTATTATTATTATTATTATTATTATTATTATTACGTATGTAAAAATTGTTTACCCGTTTAAAGTAATGGGTATTTATTATCTACTAATGGATAGTATTCATTAATATTTAAAACTCATAATTATATATATAAATACGAGAAATGAATGCGGCAAGTGCAATAGGACAATTTAAGTCCGAAAGAATAATAATAATTATTATTATTAAGGTAATAATAAATAGTTTTATTGTTTTTATTTTATTAATGTGAGTATTTTTTTTCTATGTTAGGAGTGCCTTAATTAATTAAATAAACAAATGAAGAATTTAAAATAACGAGAATTTAAATAAAAATTATGTAAATATATATATTAATTATTATTATTATTATTATTATTATTATTATTATTATTATTATTATTATTTGTTAATTAAATAATGTATGTAAAAAAAATTATAAAAAAAAAATTTATTTCAACAAATAAATTTTCATGCTAACAAAAAAAAAAAAGTTTATTTTTTTTTATACTGATTATGAAAAAGTTGCTGATTTGACTAATGAAATTTTTTTCCCCCAATAGAACAAAACGTTTGGACGACGCCATTTTTATTTTTTTAAATGGAGTAGTTGGAAATGTAATAGATGGCAAAATAAAATCAACAAAACCTCATTCGAAAAACGATTATATCAAACACACAAAATTTGTGATAAGAAAAAAAAAATATAATAAAAATAAAAACTGACCTTTCTAATCCATGTGCCCACAAAAAAACCATTTTTATTTTCACTCCCTGAAACAAAAATAAAATTTATTGATTATGTTATGAAGACAACGTCAAGTGAGATTATTATTAACAAAAAAAAAAAAAATTTAATTCGACTCATTAACGACAATTTCATATAAATATATATATATATATTGTTTCTTGTGGCAAAAGAACACCATATGACGTCGGCATCATTTTTTATAAATATACAAGTTTTATTATATGATAGAACGCACGCCACGAGTAAATTAAGACATTTTCTTTGATGTTTCCGAATCAAAATATTAAATTATATTCAAAAAAAAAAAAAAAACGTTAATTAATGAGTTTTTTTTCTCTTAATTTGATTTTATCAGTAAGGTAACAACAACAACACTACCTTTTCTATCGATACTCGTCTCTTGATATTTAATACTTATGTAAAAAAAAAAAAAGAGAAAAAAAACATTTTTTTTACCGGAACATAAAATATCCAATGAATTCGACACGATATGAATTATTATTATCATTACTATAATTATACCTCGTGCTCGTAACTCATAATCCACGTTGATTTGTCGAATAATCGTGCGAGGTGTTTTAACTTTTTCATTCAGTTTTTTATTTTCGTTATCCATTTCATCTTAAACTTATTATTATTATTATTTAATCGAATCAAATCGATTTTTTTAATTACGTACACGTTTAAAATTTTTTTTATTAAAAAATAATATTTTCATTAAATACATATAAAGTAACTGGTTTGATAATTAAGTAGGTAGAGTCAAATAAAAAACTGAAATAAAAAAAAAAATCTTAGTTAAATTAATTAATTATTAAGTTGCTGATTTGATTACCCGCAATTAAGTTCTACTTCAGTTAAAATGTCGCCGGTTAATTAATTAGTTATTCACAT